AGAGAGCGAATCAGTCTCCACAGTGGTTGTCCCCATTATACTCCCACCAGCGGCCCACGAGTGCTCACTGTTACCTCAAATTCATTGTAGTCAAATGACGTGCCATTGTTTAATTCAGGGCTCCTTAAATCCTAACAAAATAGAATATCTTTTTGTATATTTATTGGTCATTAGTGTTTCTTCCGCTATGAACTATCTGTTCACATATTTTACACAACTTTTATTGGGTAATTTTTCTTATACTGACTACTTATCCCTTGTTGGTTAGGGCTTGAAAATATCTTCTCCCAGTCTATGGTTTGGCTTTTAGCATTGTTTATAGTGTTTATAGTTATATAGAAGTTTGTTTGTTTATTTGTTTATGTAGCCAATCTCCATGATCATTTGTGCTTTTTTGTGTTTTATTTAAGAAATTCTCTACTCCCGATCATAAAGATACCTTTCTGTATTTTCTTTTGTAAAAAAGTTTGCATTTTACATTTAGGTATTTAAGCCGTGTGATTGAAGATACTTTGGAGCTATATTGCAATAGGGACAGATACATAGTCCAGGTGACTTCCTGAAGAGTCCATTCTGTCCGCTGAGGTGTGTAATGTCCTGTCATAGAGCACATTCCCCAGTGGGCTCTCTTTCTGGGCATTCTGTTCTGTTCCATTTTCCACTTGTTTGGACCCTTGCACTTACTGCCTCATGGCTTAGTCTTCTTGTAAACCTTAATCCCTGGGAGGGCAGGTACGCTCCTCGCATTTTTTCAAAATTGTCTTGGCTTTTCTTGGCCCTTCACTCTTTCACACAAATGTTTGGATCAGCCCATTAAAAAAAAAATCCTGTAGGGATTACAATTGCAATCATATCACAGGCATTTCAAAAACAGATTTTTGGGGGCACCTGGGTGGCTCATTCGGTTAAGCGTCCAACTTCGTCTCAGGTCATGATCTCACAGCTCGTGAGTTTGTGCCCCCCATCAGGCTCTGTGCTGACAGCTCGGAGCCTGGAGCCTGCTTCAGATTCCGTGTCCCCCGCCTCCTCCCCTGCTTGTGTTCTCTCTCTCTCTCAAAAATAAATGAATAAACATTTAAAAAAACCCAGATTACTGAAAGGTTCCACAGTTCTTCCAAAATAGCTTTTTCTTAAATGGCATTGAATTTAAGGAGCAACGGTTTACTAACAGAGGAGGAAGGGTTCTTGCCACATCCTCAGTGGGTGCCTCTTCCTGGCTTCCTGACTCTCAGTGTCATGTCATCACCCTGCCCAGCTCCCCAGGTCTCTTTTTCCTTCACTTCCGTCACGGTCTCTTTTTCCTTCGCTCACCTTGTATCGGTATTGACCAGATTGCCTGCTCTTTCTTTAGATAACCTTTGTCTTCCAAACTTCCCTTCCTTTCCCTGACACCGTTCTGGCTCAGACTCTTGTTCCTCATGCTGGGCTGGGGCAATAACCTCCAATTTATGCCCCTGCTTCTCAAGGCTCTTCTTCCCTGAAGTCCATCCTGATTACTGATTAATTACCTTGAAGCACTCTCTAGCCTCTCCCAGTCTAGAGCCCTCACCGGCTCCTTCTCTCCACAGGATAAAGTACAACTTCTCTGCCTGCCGCTCATCAGGCCCCACCTCACCTGTCCAGCCCTCTCAGTTGTCCTCTGCCTCCTCACCAGCGACCTGGAATCCTGCCAGATCAAGCTCCTCCGTGTGTGGAGAATCTGCCTGCTCATTCTGCCTCCACCACCACCTCAGCAGTGCCCACTGCCTGCTCTCCACGCTCCAGTTTGCTCACCCGTTCCGACATTCCACGCCCCCCCCACCCCCAAACAGGCAGCTCGCAAGACTACCGGACCCAGTATGGTCTCCCTACTTTGAACATCCTTGGTGCTCCCATTCGCACATTCCGCGGCAAAGCCAGGTGAGATCGATTTTTACTGTGTGAGGCAGGGTTTCTCAACCTCAGCGCTATTGACACTTCGGCCAAGACAACTCCTTGTTGTGGGGGGCTTTCCTTTGTATTCAGGGCAGCATCCTTGGCCTCTCCCCACCAGGTGCCAATAGCACCCTCTAGCTGTGGCAAATGAACTGTCTCTAGACATTGCGAGAAGTTCCCTGGGGGACAAAATTGCCTCTGGTTGACAACTGCTCATCTAAGGGAAGAGCTGCACTCTGAACAAGAGGTTCCTGGAGCCGGACGCGGCAGCTACCTACTGGCACAAACCCCACAGCAGCTGCAGAGCCTCTCTGGACACCCCGGCAGTTGTCATTTGCTCTGAAACAAGGCTGAGCTTTGTCCAAGCACATGCCCGTGTCTGCCTTCTGATCCACACTGACCACATCCTGTTGTTCGGAAAGTCTATGCACTGAGGTGACGACATCAAGAAGGAGGCTGGGGAAAAAACAGTAAGGATTCCATAGAGACACAGACTCCTATTCATGAAAGTCTGAGAGGTGGTTAATCATGCCGTAGGAAGACAAAATAAAATATGGACGGGAGCCACATTTGCTATAACGGTGCTAGGGTCATCTGGTTGTCATATTTTAGGTGGCCAGGAAATAAATGGCTTTTCACGTTCAAAAGCGATTCAGTATAAGATCTAGTTGTCCAACACCGTCAGAGTATTTGTACAGGTTCCCCTAAGTGTTAAGAACATTATTCATAATAACCACCCCTCTAGAATGATGCAGACCCTTTCCCAAAGCGGCTCTTATACAGTCCCCTAGGGGATTTGTTGGGTCTTGCATCATTTAGGCACCATCTCGATTCCCTGGATGGCTCTGGGATTTGAAAAACGCTCCAAGCCAGCGTCCCCAACTTGAATGAGCTTTGAGGTTGGGGTTTGTGGGAGGCCCAACATGCAGCTGTATCTCCCTGGCTAGGTGGTCATGCCCTTCTTTTGGCCTATTGGCTCCTTAAGGGGTTGTTCTTCCCCAAGGCCTTAACCACGATATGTAGATACTCTCCAGGCTGGCCAGCTCAGGACCACCTGTCTTCAGCTTCCCTCAGCTGTCCCAGCTTCCTGCCGGGGTGCTCATGTCCTCCTTTCGGTTCTCTCTGGAGAGGGGCCTTGACTTACCTCTCAGAAGTTGGGCAGCAGTGGGAGCGAGAGAGAAGCAGGCAGAGGGGATGCTGAAATTAGTTTTCAGCACCTCCAGAAGATCTGCCGTGTACCTGTAGAGACACCAACCTACATTCAGAATATGAGGATTGGGGAGGCGGGGAGGGACCAGAAGGAACATCAATTATTTCACACTCCCTCAAACACTCCTGAGTTTGGGCTGCTTGTACATTTCCCCTTGGCGCCCTGATTCTTAGAGGAAATTGGCCCAGGCTAGTGTGTAAGGCAGGTGCCGCCTAGGCCAGGGGCAGGATTGGCCTAGGTGCCCAAAGGGCCCACAGTTCACTCTCTTCACTTCCACTGGGGCAGCAGTCCAGTGGCTGACAATAGAGAAAGAGCAGAGTCTCACAGAAAGAGTGGACCCTTAGCACCAGGGGTGAGTCCACAGCTGGATGGGGCTCTGTGCATGCCCTTCACAGCCCCTACCTCTGAGACTTTTCTCTTCCCAGTCGAGGGACAAAACCAAGGCTCTGAAAGATCACACACTGGCCCAAACCCACAGGACCTTGGAGACAGCCAAACCATTATTAGTCTGCCTCATTCTGTGTCCTGGGAGCCAAAGGACCTAAGAGGGAGGGAGGGACAGTCCAATGAGATAGGGGCCTCCACGGCTTAGCAACTGGCTCCTGGCTCTGGGCCTGCTGCCCTCACTCACCTGGGGTCAAGTTTTATCTGAGTCCTGTCTGGCTCCATCGTCTTCTCCCCCTGTCTGGCTTTCCAGCAGGCACTGAGGGGCAAGAAGGGGCAGGAAGGTGGGGGCCCTGAAGGAGGCGGCTCCCGCTGGTTCTGCTGCCTGCTGGACTCTCTCAGAGGACCTGGGCCACGTGTAGGTGGAGTGACAGAGTCTTCGTCTCTGACTCCCTTTACTCGGGCTTTCCGTGCCGCAAATCCCTAGAACCTATCTCAGAGTTCACCCTGGAGGAATTTGATCCTTTTGACTGGCTAAGTTTCCCTCCCCGC